GTCCATGGCTTTAAGACAGGCACAGATCCACCTACCTGCTCTTACCTAGAATGCTATGAAAACCTCTTTTACTTGCTTAGCAATATAAAAAGAAAGCCTCCAAATATTCCAACTTGTGCCACAGAAAGGACAAACAGAAATGTACAGAACTGGATTAGTAGATGGCTTTGTCAGCTGCCTCTGCTTTCATGTGAACTTGGCTGGGTAATTAAAATGTGTAAACAGAGATCAATTACTACACATTTCCCACTGTGCTGAGTTCCCACTCTGTAATCTTTGCACCTCAATTAGTTATCCTCTCCTAATACACAGCTACAAGATGCAGAATCCTCCCTAACATATCACTTAATTAAAATGTTTATTCTTATGATTAAAAATATCTTAATATCACAAAAGCAAAAGCAGGTACTCAAGAGAACCCCAGAAGCTATAAATAATCAGAACGGTTGATGCATTAGCACACTTCTGCCTCGTCTGCCTCCTCTAACAAGTCCTGTTTCAAAGAAATCACCAGCTTCCCGGTGCTGCTTATGCCTGAACGTCATTGATTTTTTATGTAGTTCATTGCAGATGGCTGTTACACTGTGCCTAGACAAATAAATTTCAGCTGTGTGTGTTTTATGTAGCAAAGAAAATACTTAAAGGAATATGTGTAGCTCAGCTTCACAGATATCAATCTGGGTAAGTGTCTCTAGTCATCTCTAAAAATCAAACATACCTCACATCACGTTTTTAACAAGGGATTTTATGCACTGTCACATTACTCTTTCACCGAATCTGTGTATTTTTCTCTGAAGGTTTCTACAGAGCAGGCTAGTACTGATCAATGTAATGTAACATAATGTAACCCTGGAACACAGCGTGTTAAATAATTCTCATCATGAGCATTCCATGACGATACAGATGTGAAAACATTAATAAATATTCAGCATAAGAGCTGGTTAAAAAAAGCCTCTGGAATTCCAGGCTCACATGCTTCATCCTAGACTGCCACTGTTTATTTATACGAGCTTACTATGCATATTATTTTATTTGCTATTTGTAACTGAAAGATAAATTTATTTCAGATCTCTAGAACCCCATTTCAAAATCAACAGTTCATAGTAAAATAAGGAATCCTCAATATCTCTAAGCAGACCAGCTGACTGATGTTTGTAAGCTTACCGAATATTTTGGGAAAGCTTATGAAAATGCACTATCTTTCCTTCACTCTGCCCTGAGGGCATTTGGTATCCATACTCCTGTCACACTCGAAACTCTTCCTTAAAACCTTATTCCTCTTGGCCTGTTCAAGGAATTCCAGCCTGCAGATTCTGCTCTGCACTTAGTGTGCCCTAAGAGTGTGTATTGAAAGATGAGCTGGAAGAATGCCTTTACTGAAAAGAAACACTCTGCCAAGAATATCGGATCATGTGTTCTTCTAATAAACAGCCTACAGTGCCTGAATTTCATTTGGATAAGGGATTAAAAGTGCTGCTCATAGTAACACATTAAGACAGCAAAGTGCTGTTAAGACTGCACCAACTATTCACACCTACCTAGATCCAATGGACAAGACACAAATGGTCTTGGATACTTTTATTTAGAGTTTCACCATTCCATTAGTGGCCACATACGCGCTTTTTTTTTTTGTCATCAGTAATACAACACTAACAAACCACTGAATTTGCTTGTCTTAGTCCAAACTCAGATGACAGAGATGGATCCTGGATTTGTGTCCATGTCCACACATCACTCTGATGAGGCTCTAAGTGCCAGGCCATGCTCACAAGCAGGAAGTGGCTTGCCTCCACACCTAAGCCAGCTTTCCATGCTGGGGTCTAAACCTCAGGCCCGGTGCAGGTTGCATTCAGCTGCTTCTGCAAGGGCAAGGATATGGGCAGGTCCTACCCATGTGAATGGGATGGAGTCCTCCCACATGCTGTCCAAACGTACCACTCTGCCAAGATCTCCAAAATAAGAAATGTATCAGCAATTTGAATTTATTCTCATGATGAGAGTTATTCATGAGAATGGGATTCCTCCTAAGAGTAGTAAATGCAGCACTTCTGACAGAACTCCATCAGAGCAAAGAATATGAAACAGAACAACTAGGACACAGAAGCAAGGAGAGTTAACACTATTTATGATGCCTTAACTTTCACTGAGGGGGAGAACTAGAAACCTGACTGATGCATCCCAAGAGTCATTATTCAGGATGTAACGACCACAGATGCAGTGCACACTAATCCCAGCAGACATCCCTTGGGACAGGAAACTTAATTCAACATGGGTCGTACAGAGATGACACTCTGCTTATGTCACAGAGCTTTCTCCAAGTGTCACCAGACCACAACAAGTGCCACACAGCTTTAAAACTATCTCTGGACACACAGGAGTTAAGTATGAGGGACAGGAAGAAGCATCTGTGAACTGTTATTCAGGAAGAGAGCAATTTTTATTGAAGCAAAGTGAAGCTGTAAAGACATGCAGCTCTCTACAGCTTAGTCCCTCAGGAGGCCCCAGAAAGCAAGACAAATGAGAATAAACAAATACCTGCTTCAAAGAGGAAACAACTCAAGTATAAAGAGAGTTAAGGATACAAAAAGCACAATAGATTAATACACATGGGCAGGCAGGGAAACAGTAAGCTGCAATGAGGAGCAGTTTTAATGTATCAGTAGATCAATCACAGTCAAGTGTTTGTGGGCGTGAAAAAAACCTGCATTTTAGAGAGGGTTTCAGAGGAGGAAAATGAGTTAGCATTACAGATGTTCATGTCCAGGACGTGCAAGCTTATGTCTGAGATGACACAGATGAAGGAATCAAGTGTAGGTTGATTTCCCATCAAACATGAGGTTACAAAACCCTTTAGCGGCAGAAAGAGATAAAAACAGGCCAGATTGCAGTTGCCAAAGCCAAGGAAATGTTGTTGCAGTAACGGAGATGCAAAATGCATGACAGCATTGATGGAAGCTCAGCAGCACATACAGACAGGAAAAGCTGTCATGCAGACAGAATTAGCAGGATTTTGATAGGCTGGGTGGAAAGAGAGAGGAAGAACTGTGAGCTGAAGGGAACACCCAGATTACTCATTCAAATGAGAAAGCAGCTGGAAAGCTGGAAGGGAGCACAAGAACCCTTGGGCAGATTAAGAGTTCCAGGTTAGCAATGTTTTGTTTAAGGCAAGATGGAAATGAGGCGATGTCAGAGTTGCACTGAGACTGCAGGCTGTACAAAAGTTGATGGATCTTGAGCGCAGAAGGAGATCTACAACACTCCTTACTGGACTTTACTAATTCCATGCACTATTAAGCTTTGCCCAGGCAACTACTTAACCATTGCGGAAAGGCTGGGCTTTACATTGTGATCCAATGACTGAAGCCATTAGTATTTTTGTTCTCTCAGCGCTAGGTCACTTGACACAGATTATTCAAATTTCCACAGCTCATTAACATTTCCCACCACTTAACTCTCATCTTAGACAGGTGGTTGTACCTCAGTTTGTTTCCAGCAACAAAGTTTCTACCACTGCCTTTTCACCTTTCTCTACTCAATGCCCTAATTACTCTTACGACAAGCTCTCATGTTCATGATGCTTGCACATTCCACCACCAAGGGCTGCAACTTCTGATCCAGCTGCAGATACTGGTTTGAGGGACACATTGGATCCACCAGTAGGAATAAAAGACTGAACGGCAATGCAGAGCTCTCCATTTTCTGCACTTCTTTCTTCATCCCCATTAGTTTAAAAACAAATCAACCGTGTGTCAAGTAAACATCAATTATTTCCCTAAACTCTTATGTTTTCCTGCAATTGATCACATACCCCGAGTTAAAAGCCTTGTCAGTCCTCGCTATTTACCAAGCTTGCCGATAAAATACACAATCACAGACACAACCACAGACACAGACACTAATTAACAACATTCCATTGTGCCACAAATGAGAAACGCCAAGAGGTCTACCTTACCCTGCCCTGCTCCTTACACAGCTCCCGGTTCACGAGCACACATGCACACAGACAGCAGGCAGACAACAATATACAAAGATAATGAATGGGTCTCTAGTGTTTCAGATTTACCTACAACCGTGTCCTTCCATCAGAACTTTAAGAGTGTTTTGCTTCTGGCACTAGCATTAGCAATCCCACAATAAAGACTGTTAAGAAAAACGTTGCTCAACATTAGAGATAGTTAGAAACAGAGTTAGAAAAAATCTGGGTGCTTCCCAGGAGCACTCTGCGAATTACTCACGACTGCTAGATATTTTACAAACTGTGCATGGCACAGCTGCTGCCAATGGGTTACGCAAGTCTCTGACCCACACTAAATAAAACAAAATGGAAAATGAAGATCCTGATGAAAAGAAGAACGTGTACCTATTGTGTATCAGAGACGCAAAGTGCATTTGAAATAAAGGGCATGCGTATGGAGAGTGCACGTATTTGGGGGGCTAGGGGGAAAAGGTTAAATGCAGATAAACCTCTTGCTGGTGAAAATAACATTTGAATTCAATTTTCTATCCAGACTATCTACTTCACAGTCCTTTCATTCCTACTGTGGGAAAATAGGAACTGGAAAAAAAGTCCCACTGAGGAGGCTCTTGGCTTTTTTTTTTTTTAAACTTTGAAAGTCTGATGACCTAAAGAAAACAACAAAACAAACTGTGTCCACTATTTTAAAATCAGCTTTCCCTTGGGTCTCAAAACTGCATCTGTTCCACGTGCACTGAATTCAGCAAGAATACAGCATACAGGATGACTAAAACATCAGTCTGCAGGGAGGGACAGCAATATATAAAAGTAAATAGAAAGAAAAAGGCATTTAAGAGGCGAATACATATGACAGAGCTATTGCTTGGTAGAGGTGAGCATCTCTTTCAATTCGTCTAGTCCAACTCTTTTCTAGACCATTTTTATGCAGCTTGTGCTAGAGCTAACTGCCCCAAATACCGTTGATCATTTAGCCTATCAGCTAGGGCTTTAAAGGGGCATTTCCACGTTCAGCCTGCAATCTTACCTTGTAGGCAGCTTGTCTCATAAACTGCTTTGCAGGCTGCTTCCAAATAGCAGGCACTGTAATGACCCATCTTACTTCAGTGTTTTCAAAATCTGAGCCTCCTTGGTCACTGAGCTCCTAAATAAAAAGGAAATAGAGGTTAATGCAAAATGATGGGTGTTAATTTTGTAAGAAAACATTATCTTCTACTGGTTCCAGTAACAGTAACTTTCCCTTTTGTTTTCTTTTTTCCTATTACATCTATGCTACAAATCAGAATTATTGCCAACCTGTCAAGAAATGCTTTACAGTGCCAAAAACTGGGATTAGGGTCAATGCCTTCTCAAGGAGGCCTATAGAAAAGTCTATTCCTTAACATGAAGTAGAAGAGTTACCATTTTTCCAAAAGCAGTTTATGCACTGCTAAATATTACGGAACATATATGTACATTCTTAATCACAGTGTGGGATTTGCTGTTAGCTTGAAGAATTCACACTTGCATCTGGATTAACAGGCAGAAAAATATTTGAGGTATCACTGATGAACGTTATGTTTTACAATCTGGATTTTTCAATGACTTCTTTATACATGACTTACCTTTAAATCAAATTTTTACAACTCGGTTAACAAGGGGAAGTTACAGTTAAACCCTTTAAAATAATGACTGCTCCTTGAAAACTTTGCTTCAAGCAAACATTCAACACTAGTTTAGTTTTTTTATTATCCTCTTTTTTTTTTTTTTTCCCTTATAAAGAGGAAAGTCTGTATTGCATTTGCAAATTAGGTGATATACTGACATGTTTTGGGAAAGGTTCCAAGTAAAATGTCCCTACCATATGTCCTATCTAAATTTCCATCCAAACAGGGAAAGGTTCAGAAAGGTGAACAACGAGCCTTTAGAATGTAAAAAAAAAAAAATTATGTTTCTGCATGTGCTGTGCCAAGGTGTTGTGTTTGTTTAGCTATGCTGCAGTTCAAAAATCTATGCTAGAAAAGTAGTACCTTTATACTGCACAGGGCACTAGGAATGGACGAATTATAGTCCAAAGTAACAGTTCATTTACATCACTTGTGTAATTAGTTTCAGCATGCACTCACAAATCACAGGGATTTATTTATTAACATCAGGGAAGGATGTAGCCCTGTACAGGAAACACAGCAAATGTATGGGATTGTACCAAACAGCATTCATATTCACTAAAAATTTCCCCAGACTATGCACAGACTCAAGTCTGTGACTCCACAATCAACCCCAAATCTTTGAGTTGTAATGATAGGATTATTTCTCTCTAGCCATAAACAATAGACTGAGATCTCACAGAGAATAAATTAAATTCATTCCAAAAAGTAGGTTAGTTTTTTAACAACATTGCTATTTTAAACAATGCTTGCCTGAAGGAGGATTCTGATCTGACCCAGCAACTGCTATGCTTACGCTGACGTTCCAGTGGTACATTTGAAGCCAATGTGTACTTAAGTCACATTTAACTGTTTACATGAGATTTTAAATCTCAAAAACTGTTTACTGGGGACATGTATCTCACAGAAGAATACAAAAAACAAACTTGTGACCCAAGAACATCATTACAAAACATGAGTATTGTAACACTTCAAATGGGAAATAGAAAATAAAATGCATTTTCCCTACCAACATGAGCCACAGTGTGGGGAGGGGAGTGGGAATAAAGGGGGGGAGGGAAAGCAACATCAATGGAGGCAGTACAACAGAACACAGTATGAATTTACAAAATAAACCCTAACAGATGTCTGTCTTACTTTCTGGTTCTCCCTAATGTTTGTTAGATTTTCTGCATAAGCATGCATTCAGGATCAGGGCAACTGAATAACATCTCACAGCGCAACAACATGAAATTCACTCCTGCAAAGGGTCAGCACAGGGCCAAAATACCATAGCCTAATCGCAGCTCTTTGGCACACGTGCTACAGTTTAACTGTGTAAAACAGAATAAAGGAGTGTTGTGTGCATGTAGCTAAGTTGGTTTGGATCATGGAGGCTATATACCTGTGCTGGTGCAGAATTTCACATAGGCTAATACACCCAACTTCTCAGAGCAATCAAGTAGCCCGCACAGACCACTGCAATGGCACAATCACAGAGTTTCCACTAGGTTAACTGGCTTGTACACCTCAGCAGGTCATCTTTGTACAGACGTTTACAAATTAAATCCAGCTCATCCGACGTCCCTTTGCAAAGTCAGTGAATACAAAGTCAGGCTGGGGCAGGAGACATCAGTAAGTGCCCATCCTGTTGTGTTTCACAGTGCCAACTCTTTAACAAGAGAGAGAACCTTGCACAAGCACAGAACAATCCACCATCCCAGCAGCAGAAGCGTAGGGGATGAAGACAAGACCCAGTCTTGGGTCTTCAATTCCTGAGCTTCAGCTCCTGCACTTTTAAATTTGGTTTTCAAATCAACATTTCTTCGGGGGTGGGGGTGAGTGGGGGGAGAAAAAGCATTAAAAAATATTGAAGCCAGTAAGAAAATATTCAGCGCACTGTCTCACAGTGATATACTTACTGTTATTGAATCAAGTTTCCCCTGTGTGAGGGGAAATCACTTCAGGCTATTGTGAGCTCTCTAGACTCCACAGACTGCCTACAGTTTCTACAGCTGCCTTGCTTTGTTTACATCAAATACCACTGAGGTCAAAGCTTGGCAAGGTTAGAAGTGTTAAGCTCACATTTATACCAGTTATAAATACAGAAAATCTAGATAAGGAAGCATTACCCTACCTTTAATGCCTGTTCCTTAAAGAACTGCAGAGCGTAAGCAAATATCTCAAGTGCTTTGACTTTTTTGCCATTTGCAGCTGTCAGGTCTGTCTCCATGGTAAGATTCTAGATGAAAGAAAATAACTGGAAGTTATTAAAAGGAAGAGGTAAACACGAAATTAACTCCCACTGCTTGAGGAAAAGGAATTCTTCATTATCCACCTGGTTAGGAAAAAGTGACAAAGTTGTTCTGAAGAGGATCTAACTCATCACTTGCATTTCCTGAAGCATGACATTTGCTGCTTATTTTAGACTTTGTTTTTAAACACTTACCACATCTACAGATGGCTGCAGACAGAGAGAGAAATATGGACTAAATATTAAATAATTACAATAAACGTATCTGTAAATTAATTGCAACAAAGCTGCAATTTAATTAAGTGCAATTAATCCAAGTTAAGAGCATAGATTTTTGGCTTCCCACTAACATGGAATCAGAAAACACCTCAATACAGAAAGTACTGGCCAAGTCCCAGAACTCTAGAACAGCTTAAAGACAAAAATATAATCAGTAGGAATAATGTCAAATTAACAACATGATTTGTACTTGCAGTTTTGATAATAAACTCTGGGTAAATTTGCTCTTCTGAGCTAGAGTTGAGTATGGCTCTTATATTCTATTTCAGCTTTCTGAGTAAATTTATAGAACAAACCAACTTCCCTAGACATATGGATTTCACCCAGCAAAATTAGGACATGAAGACATAAGCAAAGCAGATATTGAACTTCTAGAAAGAAGGCTGGCAAAATACCGTTGCCAAATGCAGTGAGAAGCAAAACGAATCATGTTGTTAACTGAAGAGTTTATTTTATTTACTCTCTACACTTAGAAATAGAGCTGTTCACATTTGCCTGATAAACTTCAGGCAAATATCTAGTACTGCCCACAGGAAGATAATATGAGTAGCAAATGCATAATTATCCAAGCGAATCAGCTATTACTTACACCGGTGGTATGTAGCTTCATCTTAAACTTTTCAAAATACAGCCAATGCTTTGATTCAGTGGGATCCAAGTCATGGTAGAAGTCTCTTGCTGCATACCCAAAGCTATGAAACTTTCTCTCTGGTGTTAGGAGGATAGTAGTTGGTGTCTTCTGATTGGATACACCGGGATCTCCACCTTCCCATCGTCTATCCAACAAGTGAAACAGCCTCAGTAAGTGATACTAATGTTCAGAGCAGCAGGAAAATCAGTATATCATGAGAAAATAATCTGGTGACAGATTGTACACACCGTTTTCCCCTCCAAAGATACTAATTTCAATCCTTATAATACCAAAACCAAGTGCTTTTATTCACATCCAAAAAAAAAAAAAGAGGACTGTAATTTTAATTTCAGACAATTCAACAAATTTTGCAGTTAGTTGTATAATTGTACTGTCTTTGATAAGGATATAGGTTCCCTGAAATAAGGCATACACAAGGAAACAGTAGTACACTTACATTTTCAAACTAAACATACATATGTAATAAACATTGAAAAAAAAAGATTTTCAAGTAATTAGCCAAGAATGTGATGAAAGAAAACCCAAATCCTCAAAATGGCCTACACAGCCATCAATCAGACTCCATGAATGCTTACTTGTACGGGCTATTTTCCCCCAGTTTGAATTCAGGACCTGTCTAAGTCAGCTGAACACCGCTACAGTGAATTGATTAAATCCCTGCTTCTGTCACAGAATGCTCTCGGGAGCGAGAAAAGCCACTTCAACCAACACCTCTTCATGTGCCTGATTTCCTGGACACCAGAAACTCTGAAGACATATCTGCAGATGTTGAGCTCTCTATGTTGCACTTTCTACTCACCCGAAGTTGATGGATTTTCTGTTTCAAGTGTCAAGAATGTTGTAAAAATTTTTATCTGTCAAAAACAAAGCGGAGTCCCCCAACCCACAAGTATCTTATAGGCACCAAAACATTTCCCTCACCACCATCCATTAAAACGGTGAATAAAACTAGCTCATAAAGATTGTGAAGGTATCTTCAGGAAGACCCAAGAAGCACAAAGGTATTAAGGCAAAAGCAACACTAGGCTTTCAAAGAATGGATAAAGAAATAAGTAAGAACATCAAATATGGAAAAAACATTAAATGCAGGAGGAACTGGGGGGACAGGGGACAGACACATAGCGAGACTACAAGGTCTGACCGTAAGCATTCTTGTCTTCTCCTCATTTCTCCATCACAAAAAAAGCAGAACAGAAGAACAAGAAACTCGCGTTACTGTTCCTCCTCTCCCCATATACAAGTACTTTCAGCATGTGAAAACAAACACTTACCAGAAAACATTTTCTTACCAAGGCGTCAGTGGAAAATCTGCTTTATGCCATCAGACACAATCATAATGCAGCTCAAACAGGAGTCAGGCTAAGATTACATGGGCAACTGCATTCATTATTAAACCACATGTGGATTGCTTTCTTCTGAAGATAGCAAAACACACTTTCATAATATACTACTGCCAAAACCTTGTTCCGAAGCACAAAAAGATTGCCTTGTTCTGCGGTACTTGTTTATGAGACATAGAAAGATTATGTAGAAAAAAAAAATCTTCTTTTCCACTTCACTTGCAGAAACAGCAGAGCCAACTGAAAATTAATTGACCTCTGGACCAAGGCAGAAAACTGACATGGAAAGCTACAATCTGAGGGGTTAATACTTGGCAATTGTAACAAGGAACAGGTTCTTCTGAAGTGCCAGGAACCCTTCAGATCATCCAACAAGGTCAAACTGCAAAATCTGCCCTTTTTTGCACCACAGCAGCAACGGCAGGGAGTCACATCTATGAATTTACCACAGTAGAGGGTAATTCCACTGCTCTGAGAGCAGAAATAACATGATGAGAAGTGGAATGTTTTCCACCTTCATCCACTTGGAAAAATTCTCCTAAACCTCTCTAGCCCCATTGCTCAGCCCCGAGCTACTTGGTCAGCTCCAAAAGCTTTGAGTAGGTGTTACAGCAACCATATGGGATCCACGGCCCGTGAACAGAAAACACTGCCTATTTCACCAGAATGTGAAATCCCACACACCCGCTGCAAGCAGAGAGGAGACAGACTGGTATCATTTTTGCTTGGAATCATTAATGATTTATTCTGAGTCACCGGTGGGAAATTCCATAAATAGGACATGGCTAATAACAATACTTCTTTATTTGTCTTGACGGCTAGGTGCGTTTTCTCTTTCCGGAATAAGTACGCTAAAGATGCGGTTTAAATGAAGATGAACTGATGCTCAGACTTTTTCAAAGCCACCTGGAGAACTGGATGGTCACTTCCTGATGAGCTTCTGATGGAAACTAGACACAGTAATTGCTCAGCATGTTCTAAAGTTCTCAGCCTGTACTACTGTTCCGTCACAGAAAGAGCAGTAAGGAAACAAAAAGGGAAATCTGACTTTACCATTTACTTTACTTTACTATCAGAGCTTTAAAAATACTCCTCTGTGACATCTTTTCCAGAGGCAAGCAGCCGCAGTCAAAAACATGTGCATGGTAACTCCAGACTGGACCGCTCAGACAAAAAAGAAATGCCAATTAAGAGCATGCCCTAGTACAAACCAGCAGTACTCTAAATGCATGTGGTCAGAGCCAGGTCAGAGCTAAAAATCTAATCAAGCAGAACCCAGGTAGATTCCTGCCTCAATATGGACATATGAGAGCAGTTCCTAGGCTGATATAAAGTAGAGCAGCTCAACAGAGCAGCACAGACCCGTTTACAGCCACAGAGGATCTGTCTGTATATTAAAAGTGAAAATAGAGACAACAGGGAAGTTTGTGTGGAAAGAATCACAAGGTTATACTAAGGTTAGAGAAATGCCCTTCGTTACACACGAATCTGGCTAACAGAGAGAGTGATCCGTGCAGAGTGATGAGAATTTGATCCAGAGCTGCAGCATAACAGTCAAGGAAACGAAGCAGTAGGGTCATCAAAATGTAGCCGAATGCCGCCAGGAGTGTGTATGCAGAAGAAAGGCAGTGTCTGCCAAGAATCACAATCCAACAGGGAAGAGAAGCAAAAGGAAAATCTAAAGGTTGAAGTAAAGTTACGCTGAAAAAAGACCACTTTCTCCCTCCTTCCAGAGACAGGCTGTAATTTGCTTCATAGTCACATGCGTTTTTCCATTTCCTTTTCTTCATTTGTGAAATACTTACATTCAGGTTGTTGCTATTTAACCAGCAGTTGAAACATTTATAACTTCATGTAAGTGCACATACATCAATAGGAGTTTTTCAAAACTGTGTAAGACCTCATGTATTCCCGTCAAAGGAGACATATTTAACTCATTCTACAGCATGGAACTGTCTTTCATTATGGCTCTGACACCACCGTGCACGCCGAAGTGTGTGCTGTACTCATGGCCAGGCTGTCCATAAGCATTTACTCACAGTGTGAAGGTATCAGAAAACAGCACTCATTGTAACAGAGCCTGAAAGTAACCACAACTATCTTTACAGAAGTAGTGGGGAACTAGTAAGAGTTGAGAGGTGTCAAGTATTACCTAAAATTGATAAAACAGTAACTAATGTTATGCGATCAAGGTAAAGTCATTCACTGATCATCTAGAAGCACATGCCCAACCCTGAACACATACTTTAGTCTACTGAAGTAAGCGAGGCTACTCACTCATTTAAAGTGAAGCGTGTGCTTAAAGAACTTTGTTACTTATAAATTCATTGGTTTTAGTACTGGACACCACAGGAAACAAACACGCAAAGTCAAAACCATGACTTTGTCTACTAATTACACAACTAGAATCATGACTTTGCTGACACTACAGCCAAGTGTGGTACTAAAGCCTTGTGTGTTCACTCTTTTCCAAAGGAGGCCTTGGTAATTAAACCCATCTTACCCTGCACTGGGACATTTACAGAAAAGCAGCTTTGTTAAAAGGCAGTCAGAAATCTAAATGTCTGGAAAGGATCAGCACTAAGGAGGGAAGGTGGAAAAAGGAATGTTAGGAAGCAAAGAGGACCACGCATCATTGGTATGCTTTATTTTAATGTAAACATTCTCGAGTGCGGGCGGGAAGTTACATTTACTCTGCTGAAATACTTGTAAATTATCCTACACATAAACCTACTTATATACAGAGTTTGAACCTCTTAATACCTTCTGAACTACTGAAGCCTTATTTTGATATCTATATCACTCTCTTCATAGAATTTCACCATTTCATGTGTATTTAGTTATACATATATAAAAATATGATTTACATTGTTTCATAAGTCAGTTTCAGCTAAATCTTCCCCAAAGTCCTTCCCTGGCAGCAATATTTATTAAAATAAAAATAATTTAAAAAAAAAAATCATTCTTGGCATTAAAATATTTCCCGTGTTTTGGAATACCTTTTGGAAATGTAAAATACATTTCCCCAACCCCAGTACATTTGTTCCTTCTGGTTGGAAGTATATGAATTAATTTATTTCATTTCTTTTTACATTGGTATCTCATATAATACCCACACACGTCTGAAATCACAGTCATGCCACCGTTATTGCATAAGGAACTAAACATGGTGTTTTGGCAAATAGGCAGTAAAATGTCAGTCAAGATATGGAATATACTCTCAGTTGGCCAAACAGCAACTGGATTTCAACATCCCAGTGATAAACAGCAGGAAGTCCAGTGCCCTGGAAGAAGAATCTAGTCTGTAATTTACTGCAGCATTGTGTGAACCCAATGGCAAAATCAGGTCCTGAGGTAAAATTTTGAGTCCAAAGGGCTTAAAGGACTTCCCTAGAAACAGAAGAGAATTCACATCGTAAAATCTCCATAGAGACTAACAGACCAACACAGTATATGGGATTTAGGCTTGCTCAGGTACAGATTCAGAGACGTCTTCCCTTATTTCGGCCAACTTCAAGGAATTTCATTATTTGCTGTCAGTAGAGAACCAGAATTGATATACATGGATTCTGACTCCACAGCCGTGTAACCTGGCTGAGACAGCAACACATGGCCTGTCCTTCGACTCCTAGCACCACACAGCTAGCTTCCTTTGCTGTTTGCAAGACAACAGGTGAATGGGATCCAGAAAAGGCCTTGAAGCACTACTTGTCTGTACTGAAAATGGTAGGTATCTTTGCAACTGGATTGCCTAATATCATTCCAAAATTCACTTCCCATTAGACAGTATTTCACATCCCCCAGTTGTGTCAGATCTTTGAAACAGGATGGACTGTATACAAACCAGCTATGTAGGCTGACTGCACAATCAATACTGCCTGCTGAGATTTAGAGAGATGCATTCAGCTAGCATCTTTGTTTAGAAAAAAATTACAACATATCACACTGGACTTCAGCAAGTTAGTCTTCTTGCCCTTTTGTTCTCAGTATTACAGTGCTAAAACAGAAACAGCAGCTTTGTTTAGAAGAACTTCAATGACTAAGCCTTTCATACATACCTTGTTTATGTCTGAAATTATATCTTGGTCTTGTTCCAATATAGTTATTTAAAGACACTTTAATTAATATGCATAAATTTATACTGTGTTGAATTTATCAAGAATTAAAAAAAAAAAGTTCCCTACATAATAGCATCTAAAATCTGTCCCTCACATACATATAATACAGAATATATTTCCCATCAAACCTTGATTCTCACATTCATGCTTTTTGATTGCTTTATTTCCCAGTATCATTGGTTCATTATCAAGGCTTTGATTTAAATTCAATGCTAAAAAGCTTTTATCAGCCAAATGAAGTATCAGTTTCTTAGTGCAAGCAACTAAGCACTCTACACGCAACTGTGTACAATCATGATTCCAGGAGATGGGCAGCTCCTGGGAAATGCCATGACCCCTAATAAGTCTGTAGTTTCTCTCAAACTCTGACATAAGGGCATCTTGACTTAATAATTATCAATGCTCCCTAAAAAATTCTAAATGCTTCTTTTACTCATGTCATCTTATAAACTCAGCAAAATAACACAGAAGGGACATGTTCACGTGATTATTAAGGTAAATTAGAATACAATAAGATGCAACAAAAAATTGTAACCATGAGAAAGGTGTACACTTTTGCAAGACTGGGCAAATCTAGACACTTCAAGCTTCTGTAGAAAATTTCTATAGCTACTGCAGACAATCGATGTTGTCACAATGGAAAACTAAATGCTGCATTGCAGCCCTTACCTCATTACATGAATACATTCTGGTTCCTTGGTGAAGCTGTAGGCGTAGCCACTGGATGTTGTGCCAAAATCAATAGCCACAACAACAAGAAATAACTGTTCTACAGCATCATCTGCATCAGAGTCCTTCTGAAAAATAAGAGTAGTAAAATAGACACTGAGTGACTGATCAGAATAACTGTAACCTGCCTTAGCCTTCAGCATTTCTGCTCT